GCTCAGGTTGAGGTTCACACTGATAAAAAGTTCGGTTTCGCACTGGATTGGAACTGGTGTTAACCCCGATAAAAAACAAATTCGCTATTAGACTGTGTTCCATTTGGTGAATTTTCACTTAAATTTGACAGATGGAAAATTTTCAAATGAACCTGCTATTGCCAAGGGGGGAAGTGGCTGTCAAATACGAACAATCGTCGCCTACCTTGCATAACTGGTTCCAAACGTAAGCAAGCCATAAGAAACCTACAGGGTTTGTTTACGTTTGGAACCAATTTCTTACATAAATGATCAGTAGGCTGATTTTACAACACAACAGCTCCCCCTCCCCCCGGGCTATTCCATCAGACTTATTTCTGACAGACAAGGAATTAATTTTGACATACACCTTTTCGAAAATCGGCCGATCAAAAACAGAGGGATTTTCGAACATCTTAATTTATTTGCGAAGTGTCAAATTTAAGTGAATATTTACCATATTTTAGTGTGTAGGCCAGGGCTGAAAAAAATCACTAAAATTCATCAAAGTTCACTATGGATGAAACATTCATTTCATAGTGAATGCTGGTGATTTTTTCAACCTTGGTGTAGGCGGATTGGGCCATTACAATAAACTTTAAGTTCATAGTTATTCACTTTCCATCGTATGGTAACTGATTTGATCTGGTTTATGAAAATATTGATCCATAAATCATGCAACGAGCCAGAAATCTTTGCTACAATATGTCTCGAAAGAACCGCTCATGGTTCAAAGATGCAATAATCTGCTTTTAACCTTTTTAAACTAGACATATCTTCAGATGATCATTTTCGAAATTCAAATATTTTAAAGAAGGAGATTATAGGCTTAAAATTCTTCAGCTGAAAATGTTCTTTCATGCGAAATCTCGAAAAACTTTCCAAGTCTTTGATCTGATTTTCTACGCCCATGATCTCTAAACTTCCAAGTCCCAGAGCCAAGCCCTGAAGATTTCGTTTTTTTTTTATAGCGCGGTTTTAAAATATTTTCTAGCATGTACACTCTTGGGGGAGTATGGAGGCCGGGTTCTTGATAAAGTTTGGTCTGAGTGCTGACAATTTGTTCCAATGATTTCTCTAAGTTCTTTGTCATTCTTTTCAAAATTCGGCGTAATGCCCTATTCGGGCAAATGGCGTGTGGCCTACTGGCATTCGGCTTAATGGCTCTACACCGATACTAGGTCACTAGGCCAAAGACCATTAGACCTAATGGTTTGTAGACCGAACGGTCATTTGAGTGAATGGTCATTAGGCCGAATTTCGGGAAATAATTTCTCAACACTTGTGAAGAACATTTGAAGGTCTGAACTGACTGAGAATAACTAGCAGATAATGAAACGATACATAAGGCTGTTGGACTAAAGCACTTATAACTATTCCGCCTAGTGTCAGGAAGAAGAAGAAGAAGAATAAGAAGAAGATAAAACTACTATAACAATTCTTAGCCAAAGTAAACAATCGGTCAGTTTCGGAGAGATTGTTGTGAGAAAAGAATGATCAGCTTCTAATAGATAGAACAAAATGCGATTGCCTATTTTATTCATGGTGCCAAAAATCAAGAAAACAGTAAAAACTAAACAGAAATGTTGATGTTTAAAAGAATCATAAATCAATACAAATGTCGTTTTCTTACGAAGTTGTCAAACCCTATTCGTCAAAAATTCAGTGTACCTATGTATTATTTTTTTTTTCAATACCCAAAAAAATTCCAAGTCACACCCATTGGTGTTATACCATTCGCCATAAAGGTTGATGCATATATTATGTCACACTCTAAGGGGGAGGGGGAGTCTAAGATTTTGTGACAAGCAATGCATTAGGTATAGGAAAAACGTTACGATAGGGGGGGGGGGTAAATTTCTGCTCGATTTAGCGTGACATAATTAATGCATGGGCCCTAATGACCATTTGGCCCAATGACCAATCAGCCTAACGACCTTCGACCTAATAGACCTTTTTGATGTTTAATAGTCTTTCTCTATCTAGTACACAGGGATGAATGAATGGTTTGTTTTCCCACTAATCTGTTTCCCTCTTGCTCGCACTCTTTTCATTTAAATGATGCATTAGTGAGCGCCGATTAAACGTCAAAAAGCTCAATAGGTGGACATCATGTGGACATGGTCTACAAGTCCAGAGGACTTGTTCTACAAGTCCGGTGGACTTGGGCCACAAGTCCGGTGAACTTGGTCTACAATTCCTGAGGACATGACCTTTCAGTCATCTGTGTTTGACCTGCAAGCATGATAAATTTAGTCTAAAATTCCTGTAGACTTGGTCTAAAATCCTTGTAGACTTGGTCTAAAATTCCTGTAGACTTGGTTTACAATTCGTGGGGCCTCCCTTAGCTCAGTCGGTGAAAGCGCAGTTATAAACCAAGACCATGCTGAAGATGGCTGGTTTCGATTCTTGATCCGGTCTAGGATTTTTTACGGGTTGGAAAATTTCTCGACTTTCCTGGGCATAGAGTATATGATTGTACTTGCCACACAATTATACTAATGCAAAAATGGAACAGGCATTGAAAGCTCTTATTTAATAACTATAGAAGTGCATCTAGAACACTAAGTTGAGAGCACGCAATAAGCTAACATGCGAAGAAGAAGAAGAAGAATGGTGTACCATTCCTGTAGAATTGATCTACAATTGCTGTAGAATTGGTCTACACATTCTGTAGCCTTGGTCTACAGTTCTTGTAGACTTGATCTACAATTCCTGTAGACTTGTTCTACACTTCCTGTTGACTTGATCTACAATTCCTGTAGAATTGGTCTCAAATCCTGTAGCCTTGGTCTAAAGTTCTTGACTTGGTATACAATTCCTGTTGACGTGGTCTACAATTCCTGTAGACTTGTTATAATTCCTGCAGACTTGGTCTACAATTCTGGTAGACTTCATCTACAATTCCTGTAGATTTGTTCTACGATTCCTATAGACTTGGTTTATTGTTCCTGTAGATTTGGTATACAATTCCTGTAGACTTGGTTGATTCCTTTAGACTTGGTGTACAATTACTGTTGTAGTGGTCTACAATTCCTGTAGATTTGGTCCACAATTCCTGTAGACTTAATCTACAAATCATGTAGACTTGGTCTACAATTCCTGTAGACTTGGTGTAAATTTTTTGTTGACGTGGTCTCCTATTCCTGCAGATTTGGTCCACAATTCCTGTAGACTTAATCTACAAATCCTGTAGACTTGGTCTACAATTCCTGTAGACTTGGTGTAAATTTTTTGTTGACGTGGTATACAATTCCAAGTAGACTTGGTCTACAATTCCAAGTAGACTTGGTCTACAATTCCAAGTAGACTTGGTCTACAATTCTAAGTAGACTTGGTGTACAATTACAAGTAGACTTGGTCTACAATTTTTATAGACTTGGTCTACAATTCCAGTAGACTTGGTGTACAATTCCTGTAGACTTGATCTACAATTCCGGTAGACTTGTTCTACAATTCCTGTAGACTTAGTCTAAAATTCCTGTAGACTTGGTCTGAAATTACTGCAGACTTGGTATAAAATTCCTGTAGACTTGGTCTAAAATTCCTGTAGACTTGGTCTTCAATTCCTGTAGACTTGGTCTACAATTCCTGTAGACTTGGTCTTCATTTTCTTCAATTCCTGTAGACTTGGTCTTCAATTCCTGTAGACTTAACCTACATACTACGTGAACCTGGTCTACAGACCCAGTGAACTTTGTCTACAAGTCCTATGGAGTTGATCTGTAAATTCTGTGAACTTTGTCTGCAAATTCTATGGACTTTGTCGTAGTCTTCAATTTCTGCAGAATTGGCCTTTAATTCCTGTGTACTTGATCTAGAATCACTGCTGAGTCGGTCTATTTGTCCAGTAGACTTGGTCAAGAAGTCCTATAAAGTTGGTCCACATGTCCAGAATTCTAGATCTATGAGTTCAGTGGGCTTGGTCTATATATGTATATATATACTATATATACACTCAATCTAGCTCGGTAAATCTACAACAGTCGATTACCTCGGTATTTACTTTTGCTAATATCGAAATGCAAAATATTTGTTTGTTAGCTGAGATCTCGGCAATTGTTTTACTGAATCTCATCAAAATAAATTACAGAACTACTCGGTTGTTTGAATCTTGGTAAAACAATTTAAGTGTGTACAGGTCCAGCAAACTTTGTCATCAATTCCTCTCTACTTGGCCTAAAAACCCTGTGGATTATATCTAGAAGTTCTGTGAACTTGGTATCCAAGTCCTGAGAACCTAGTTTACTAGTGCTTAGCATTGTCAACACGTCTTGTGAACTTATTCTACAAGATCTGTTGACTAGGTCAACAAGTTCCATGGTCTTGGTCTTCAAGTTCTTCCTCTCCTGTGGACTAGATCTACATATCCTGTAGAATATGTCTACAAGTCCTGTAGCCTTGGTCAACAAGTCCAATGACCTTGGTTCACAATTCCCGTGGTCTTGGTCCGTAAGTTTTGCCCCAAGGATTAGATCTTCAAGTCTTGTTCACTTGGTCTAGCACTGATAGCCAAATGGACTTCGTCTAGCACTATATCTGTGAACTTGATCCTCAAGTTCTGCAGATTTGGTTGACAATATATGTGGGTTATGTACTCGACTACTTATCAATAATGTAACTCGCTTTCAATTTGTAAATTTAAAATCATAATCGTACGACAGTTCCCTAGCTCATAACCCGTACCTAATGCATAGTGCTATCAACGAATCTATCGAATCCAAAATCGGGCCCCAAAACTGCAGCTATTCAACGTGGTTCAATTTCGGGCGTGCGGTTGGTTGGCGTGATTTGTCGATGGTGTTAGTGCAGTGAAGGAGAGCTTGAGAAAATTAACCAGATGTTGTATCTTTGAGTACGTGTTAGTGAGGAAAGTTCAAACAGTTTCTTGTTGCACATTCTGATCGACGATAATGGATGGAAACGAAAGACATCGTCCTAATCTAGGCATTCGAGAAGCATGCACACTGGGCGGCACTTACCTCGTGGCAGCGTACAGCGGACACCAGGGACAGATGCAGCACAGCAGCAGGGTTAGAATACCCAGCGCCAGCAGGATGGCTAGGAAGATCAACAGCCAGAACAGGACGCGATTCTCCGCCTTGTAGAGGATCTAAAACATACCAGGTGTCAGTATAGGCTTTCCAACTCATCTTCCGAACCCGCACTAAACTTACCGCACTCCGCTCATCCTGACTAATACTATTGGTCACGGTTCCGTTAACGGACAGTCTTTGCTGAATGCGGCCGATATCGACGACGGAGTCCCCGTCGTACAGTATCGTCGCGATGACCACGCTGCGGTCCTTGCTTTCACCGGTGCTAATATCGGTGGCTCCGGGGACGTTCCCATTGTACGGGCGAATGTCCTGGATGATCACCCGGCCACCAGTGACATCGGCCAGGGTCTCCTGCACCTTGGCCCGGTCCGGATCGTGCCCGGGGACGATGAAGGTCATCGTTCGGGTTCGACTTTCCGGCGGATAGACGCGGATGGTGGTCGTCGAAAAGCGCACCGGAACACCAAGATCAAAGGCCCGTGCCGTCAGGACGAACACATCCGATTCGGAAGACTGCTGACTAGTTTGTCGCCGTTGGCGAACGGTTTTGCTCCTCCGGACCAGTGCCGATGTGAGTTTGAGCTCCCCGGTGATTGGGTGCAGCTCGAATTTGTTTTCGTAGTTTCCGTAGATCAGTTCGTAGCGAACTTCGTTGTTCGGTGCTTCGGCATCGCTATCGATGGCTTTGATGAATGCCGGGACAGTGAAGTTACGCAGGTTTGGGGAGACTATGAACTCGTAGAGACTTTTCTCGAAAGTCGGAGTATGATCGTTTACGTCTATCAAGCGGATGACGAGCAGGACCTGGGCACGGTTGCCGATCCCATCGTCATCGCGGGCTTCCACGTACAGGTGGTACTCGGGCATGGTTTCCCTATCGAAACCATGGTTGTTGGTAGCTACGGTGATGACCCCGGAGGTTGCATCCAAGTTGAGTGAGGTATTCTGTGGACCGAGGATTTGTGTGTAGCGGATTTTCCCGCCAAGACCGGTGTCCATGTCTGTGGCGTGCACCTGGACGACTCGCGTCCCTGCGGTCATGTTTTCCGGAAGATCTACGATGTAGTCGTTCTGCTCGAACATAGGAGGATTGTCGTTGACGTCCGAGAGGTAGACGGTAACGTTGACCGAGGCCGAAAGGTTCGTTGCTGGACCCAACTCTTGGGCTAGGATCTGTTCAGAAAGGTTGGGTCAATTGTTTATCTTAGATTGATAAATTATATTCAATACACATACCTGAAAGTGGACATATTCTGCAGTTTCGTAATCCAGCAGCGAGTTATCGCGCACCCGAATCACAAAGTTAGCATGCCCTTCGGCAACGTTCGGTGAAATCTCAAACGTTCCGTTATTTCCGATCAGCGTCAGCGAAAACACTCCATTCTTGCCGGCGTCGTCGTCCATCACCCGAGGCGTGTAGGGATCGGTGAAGGACAACGTGGTGCCGGGTGCACAATTTTCCTCCAACCGGGTGACGTAACTGTTGTGGTGGTGATAAAGATAATTACAATCCTACAGTATTCTATTACATTGTATCGTGTTGTCAGTCGTCGTCCCCTATCTCTGATGCGATGATTTTTTCAGGGTCAGGGACATTGCGTGTCGGTGGTCGTCATTGTTGGCGGACATGAATAGATACTTACTGGTCGTTTTCAAAGTATGGCGGTGAATTGCTACGTTCCGGGAGGAAGAATGCCAACTGCACGGTGGTGGCCATGGCTGGAGGTTCATCGCGAGCGACCTTGACCTCTTCGGCGATGACTGTCAGCAGGACCGGGTCCCCGACGTGCGTGAGTGCCAGGATGTCGTCCAGAGGGCGCAGGAGGGAAATTTCACCTGGAGAAGAAGTGGAGTGAGGAATGCATTATGTGAGTGATAGTAGTAGTGTTGGTTTGCTGGAATTTGAACTTGGAATGGAGCTGTTATTTCCTTCGATTTATGGGTGTTTTGCGGGGAACAATTTTGAGACAAAAGCCGTTAAACTACTATACACTAGGTTTCAAGTTTCACGCAATAAATTAAGACTCACCACTCGTTTCATTGATGTCAAAGAATGACGTAAACGGATTTCCTTCGGAAACCAATCCATACCGAATCTCCCTCGGTACGCCCTTGTCACCATCCTCGGCGTGTACTTGCAGAACCTACAATCAATAGCAAAGTGAACATATGCTTGAACTAGCCTTTTCAAACCAATCTTACCTTATCACCGGGAATCAGCCCCGGTGTGAGCCGAGTGACCGGTGGCGCCACCGTGAAAACCGGTGGAACATCCTGCACATCCTCGACGATGATGACCACCTCCAAGCCGGCAATGTTCCTCGAATCCTGTCCTGGCTCCGCATAGGCATCCTGTGAAAGGAACGAGAAAATAAAAGCACGCACAAATAAGTTACACTGTGTAAACAGCCAGCCCGAGGGGAAGAATATGAAAATTAACAATCAGCAGATCGATAAATCTTAATTAACGAGACAGAAACATCTTGCTGGCACATTTATATATGTGGGAGCTCGCAGGGGGCGCAGCGCCTAGCGGGTGCTGGTTGGCGGCCACGTCGTCAATGACTGATGCCCTGTATGTGTTAACCGCATTTAACATGATCCGGTGAAACGAATCATTTATAATGATTATCGACTTGTGGGTTTCAAAGGTGTAAATGGCGTAAAACGAAGTAATTAAAAGTGGAACTTGATTCTCATGGAAAGGGGGATGAGAGATTTAAAATTTACCAGATTGATTTACTCCAACCACATACCCTGAAATGTCAATGAATGAGCGGCTTCCATTGGTTTTATCATAGTTTTGTTGGAATGTTACTAGGTCTTTCTTTTGACGTAGGACTACGTCTGTGATTTCTATATGGGGGTACACTTTGTGAAAACCGGTAATGGAACATGTAACAACATTATGAAAGATTTTGAACGTCAATAACTCAGCTCCCCCTGGACAAATTTCAATAATTTCATCACCAATCGGACAGAAGAAATATTTCGCATTTTCTAAATTCAAAAGTTAATCATTTTTAAATATGTCACTATTTAAAATTGCATGAATGTGCAACTGTTGCTATGATAATTCAAATTATCGCCCGTGAAAAGCGATTTCCCTAACACAGATTTTAAAGTTGAATTCCATCCGGTCTCACTAGAAGGTGTTTATTCAATCACCGCGTGGTGAGTGGTGGTGTTCTCCAGTACACAACGAAAGGCTCCCCGCAAGCAGCTAGCTATCCGCTGATCGGATTCAGTTCCAATCACCGTGTGTGGTGGTGTCAGGTCATCGGCATCAGCAGCAGTGCTTTCGGCGCGTGGCGTTGAATGTTTTTCTCCAGTACACAACGAAAGGCCGGCGGCCTGCAAGCATGAGCGTGAGTCGCTGTGGGCCATCTATGCCAAGCACGTCACCCTCATTCCAAACAACATACAGCTCACCAGCCTCATCTGTGTTTAACACCCTAATATAGCTCAGCATTACTCAACCATCACGACAAAACGGTACTTTTCAAGACCACCATAGATGTGTTAAAGAGTATATTTTGGACATTTGTTAAGGTCATCAATCGGATGTCAGCTCCCATATCAAGATAGAGCTGGAATTAGGGCGTAACAGCTTTAGTAAACAATGACTTCTTTCGATGATGTCTTAAGTCAAGGCTCACTCATCCAAATCAATATCACCATCAGGTCTGACCTCCCTTACCCGCCGGTAATGTTAGTTTGCGTGGGCGTGCTTTGAATTCCTAAAAATCAGCGAGAGAAGTCATTGTTTACAAAAGCCTAATTCCAGCTCAATTTAGATATGTTTAAATCAAACATACCATGTACTTTAAGGCATGGCCCCAATGGGTGCAATTTCAAAAACCAAAGTCGGGTGCGGCATGAAAATGGTCTGATTATGATTCACAGATTATGGACTGCAATTCTTAATACGCCAATCGATAGGATTTTTTTCTACAAATCTGTGAAAAATTAAGACTTTATCATTTTTCAAAATGTCACTATGGAAAATTGCCCGAATGTGTAACTGTTGCTATGAAAATTAAAATGAACATCGATTGCTTGTTTCAAAGTTGAATTCCATCCGGTCTCACCAAACGACAATCACCGCGTGGTGAGTGGTGGTGTTCTCCAGTACACAACGAAAGGCTGCCTGCAAGCAGCGAGCGATAGCCCACATGAGCATCCATTGAAGGAGGAAGAAGCCATACCGCTATTGATCGGAATCAGTAGCTCTTCGTGAGGCGCTGTGGGCCATCTATGTCAAGCGCGTCATACTAAAGAGAATACACAGAGGGGGACCCCCTCTCAAATTCATATTCCTACACAAAACACAAGCTTCTGCTGCATATGACGTTTTTGTTTATTTACATGCTGCTGCTTGCTATTCTATCCATTCCAATCGACATAATTGTCCAAAACGGGTTGAAAACGTTTTTACAACACTCCAAACTTATCAGGTGAGTGTGACTATTGTCGGCAGCCTCTTTTTCTTCGGCAATCTCTCCATTTGAACTGCGTGTTAACCAGCTGTTCTATTATCGGCAACTCGAAATCAGCCGTATATTGTAGTGCGTATATTTCATTTGCAGAAAAACCTGGTAACATAGGTTTGCTTAGTCGTAAAAATGTAATCATATTGAAGCTGAAAGACTAAGAAATCGTGCAAATACGTTCAGCGAAGTGTTTTGGTGAGAAAATATAGCAAAATTAACGTTCAAATTTGAGTTGCCGAAAACATTTAATGGGTGCCGAAGCCATCATTTACCCTATTTGTTTGGTTTACATGCATGGATTATCAAGTGACATACCGTATGCGCGATAATGTTTGCACCATCGTACAAATAAAGTTCCCGTTTCACCTATACATAACAATGCCTTGGTTTTCTTTGCATGTACGTAACCTATAGCTCATACCGTAGTAGGCTGTGTATAAAAGAAAATGATTTACTTAGTTTGACAGTTGCACCATGACGAAGTGGCAGCGTATTCGTGATTTGTCCCACGCGCAAATGTCGCAAAAAGACATTTCAATCGCCGTGGGAGTGTCCCGGTGGACCGTCAAAAGGGTTTTAGACCGAGAAAATAAAGGACAACTATCCGCGAAGGTGGCCACAGTTCGTCCGAGGTCAGCTTGGGTTCCGAGGGTTATCGTTGCTATCAAAAGGAAGATTCGGGTGAATTCAGTGCGTTCAATAAGGGAAATGGCAAAGGAACACGGGATCAGTGACTTTACGACACGGAATATCGTAAAGGAAGATTGAGGGGCGAAGTCGAGGGCACGGAAAAAAACTCACATGATTAACAACCGTATACGGGAGCTACGAGTCGAACGATACAAGAAAATCTTGAACTTCCTTAAGCGAAAAAATCCGGTAATCCTGTTCACCGACGAAAGCATGTTTACCGTCGATCCCGTATCAAATTCCAGAACCGCCCGGTATATTAGTTCTCTTCCGGTAAAAGACGTGGCCGACGAGCACAAGAACGTGTATCTGACCAAGCATCCTGCTAGCGTTATGGTGTTTGGATTGGTGGCTTCCGATGGCAAAAAAATGGATCCGGTGTTCATTCCAGAAGGCGACAAGGTATGTTCTTCCGTGGATCAAAGAACAGTACGGTCCGAAGCCAAATGGGGCTCCGTGCCACATGGGGCTCCGTGCCACATCTCAAACCGCACTCAGAAGTGGTTGCAGGAACATCTTCCGTTCTGGGCGAAGGATATGTGGCCGCCATCCAGCCCCGAGCTTAATCCGCTGGATTACTCAATATAGCGCGTCATGAAGGCCAAGGCCTGTTCAAAACGCCACTCGAGTACAGCAAGCCTCAGGCAAACATTGACCCGTACCTGGAGACAAATGGATCCAGACTACATTATTAGAACCTGCCGTGCATTCCGGAAGCGTGTGGAGGCCGTAATTGCAGCAAGTGGAAACTCGATCGATGATTAACATAGTTTAAGACTCTGAGAAATATCCCCCCTTTGAATTAATAAAAAAAAAAAATTTGAGAATTTTTTTAATTTTGACATTGCTTAATGGTGCAAACATTATCACGCATACGTTATAATACCGGTTGGAGCTTACCACCATAAAGATGGGTTTAGACAGGGCAAGTAAATTGATCAAGTCAGTTGAATTCAACTGACTTGAACGTGAATTGAACGTGTAAACCATGCCATTCAACTGATTTGATCAACACACTTGAATTGAAAGAAGTTGAACCAGGCTCAACTTTTCAAGCCAATTGAATTCAACTGAGTTGATCGTTTGACTTGTCTAGTTTAAGCTAGAGAGAGCCTAGTATAAGGTAGAGTCGGTGTATAATGAGTCACGCCAAGAGAAAAACAGTTGATCTCGCATCACGGTTTTCGAAGGATTCCCTTTCTTTTCACTTGGCAACAGAGGACTTCTACATCAACTTCAAATGACTTCTAGCTAGCACAAAAAATTTCGGCTGTAGTGAATCATTATATCAGTGATTTTGTCAAATTATCTTATCAAACAATAGTAGAAATTCTCATTACTGATCATTAGCAAACGTATCCCATGACAATTTAATGCTCACTGCGTGTTTATGATCATTTCTTCAATTTTATTTTATATTTTATTGCAATACCTTTCGTGGACCTTTCATAGCATCGTAATGTTTGTTTACTTTGAACGATAGGTAGCCGGTTTGACAGTTCAATAGGTAGACTTGGCTTCACTCTTGGCGTGACTCATTATACACCGACTCTAGTATAAGGGAGGAGCGGATTCAAAACAAACTCCCTTAGCAACCTATGCCTAGGTGAATTCTAGCAACACTGTCATTGCAATCAAGAAAGGCGCTGCTCGTTTGGCTCTGGTTTTGACAGTTCGTTTGGCTCAAAACTAGCCAGTCCGCTCCTCTCTTGTACTAAACGCTTTCTAGTCTAAACCCAGCTAAAATGTATTTACCTACTTTTCCCAGCTAAAATAACAGTAGTACTTCCATACTTTTCAGCACCCAGTGCTGAAAAGTTCTATTTGTCGACACTCTTTTGACTGCAAAAAATGTTGTATGCTCTGTATGTACTCGTTGCAAAATAAGATTTTTTTTCAGCACTCGTTGTAATTATCGCATAAACTAAGACTTCCCTTTGCAACTTGTTGCAATAATAGCTATTTAGATCCGAAAATGCTTAAATATTCCTAATAAACAACCACGCCAGCCACACATGGATCACTCTACAGTTGCAGCAAACTCCCGCGGTCGCACGAAAGCGAAAACTGATAGAAACAGATGTTAATTTATGTTAATTCGATCGTTTTCAATACAACTAACATTCCGCGCGGTCGCATTTTGCAGGATTATCACTACTGGACCATTCG